ACTTCAACTCCCAGAATTCCCCAGCCAGCCATGTTGAAGTCCACTCATCTTAAAGTGGCCAAGTTTGGACAACACTGATGTAAACAGTCTTGGTTTCGGCTTGATTCCAATTACAGAAAGAAGTGTTCTATACAGGGCATGCACACTGTAATACATCCAGGCTGATGTTCTTCCCCCATCTTCCCCTCATTCAGAACTGGGAGCAATTTTTGATTCTTGAAAGACAAGGATTCCTCTAAATAGGTTTCTCTAGCCTTTATTAAGCCTGACGTAAACACGGAATCAGTTAAACTATGTCTCACTGGGCTTAACTTTTTTGATTGGCTATTTGTGCATCATAACTAGTGCAAACCATAAGCCTTTAGCCTGAAGCTGTGCATCACACAGTGGCAGGATGTGGGATGAGAAAGGGACAAAACATTTCATGAGTCAGATGTGGCTTCTGGTTCCTAGGAAATATAATGCCAGTCATAAATTAAAAGATAGTTTCTTTCAGATGTAATTGTCAGAACGATGAAAGTAACAGGAAGGAAGGCCAGAAGGAAAGTATTCAGAGATATTTCAACTAGACTCCCTGATTACTGTTTTTTGAGCTAGTGGTTATTCCAAACTCAAAAAATGAACGTCACAGGACAATCAAAATAGAATTAGAATGCCATTAAAATTCTATGTCCAACTGCACAGCTGAACACACACACACACACACACACACACACACACACACACACACACACATACCTTGATGCTGTTTTTAAATAAGAATCCCGGTGTTGAGAAACCTTTCTTTTTATCCAGAGGTTCACTGAATATCACAATCTGCTCAAAGAGGAAGACACGTCTTTCTTTGCAACGTGGCAAGAGCCCTGTATCTTGGTCCGTAACCATGAACGTATCTTGCAGCAACAGCTTACCCTGTGCAACGATTTTACCCTTAAAACAGGGATCAAAATAAATTTAATTAAACCCTTTAGCCCATCAACTGAAACAGATAGCTGTTAGTTGAATACCCAAACTATTAGTTTCAAGTGAAACAGTAGTTACAGTTCAAGCACACCTACATTCTTGTATAACCCTCTCAAGAATTATTTATTCCTAAAGCTTCCCAATTTTGAGGAAAATGAGGAGAATCACATCTAAAGAAAAATGCAAAAAGGAAAGAATTTCACTGAAACAAAAATGATCTTTCTACATAATATCACACAGTTTTTCACAGGATTCCAGATTTCCTCAATATATATCAATCAGTTCTGCGCAACAAGTATGTGCAGGAAAGTAACTGCCAATCTTATCTCATTCACTGAATTTCCCATGTGTAAGGATAATTTGCACAAGCTTTATCCAACAAGCATATGATCTAAATCTAGAAGCAGTGTTTTTACATACTCTGGTCAAACAACTCCTACAACTACTATGATAGAACAGATGAAAACAGGTTCTCTAAAAGAATGGAATGAGGGAAAAGAGGAGAAACAATACATTCTGTGTCTGGGCCCAGCCTTCAGAAAGAAGGATCATGATTCCTATGGCTATTTCCATCTTAAAGCTCTGATTTTCAGCCAACATCACATTCTTATGTTTGGATGTACCTGGGACAATGAGTTGGATCTCAGAAGAAAACCTAAAGTTTGAAACAACTAAGAACATCCATAAGACACTCCCAGGTGGTTGTAACAGAAATTTGTTACAAAGAAAGAGTACAATCCCAAAAGAACTTACATCAAACCCTTGTAAACGACCAACATTCATCATGTCATTGCACCGTTTTGGGACAATGCACATTACTTCTACGGCTCTCTGTTGAATAAATGGAGAGATATTAAAGTACTAGTTGTACCCTCATCTATCATATCTATCAGATTCTTTAAATCTGTTTTTTTTTTCAGCTAGGTATCCTCCAGATTTGTTACCACTTTCCTTTACTCCCCATCAGCATATCTCAAACAAGATTTCGTTGCCCTAATGTTAGGATTTTGTGTCACAGATACTATATTTTTCCCCTATATCCACTACATACTATTTAGAATAAAGTGCCAGAGTTATAGTCATTTTTATGAGCCTAGGGACCTTGTAATAGTTGTTAATGGAAGGACTGAAAGGACAGCACCTAACTGAAAGTGGTATTTCATCACAATATAAATTCTTTAAGCCCATTAAAGATAGGTTTACAATTCATAACTCTTGTTGCATCTACAGTTAGTGCCATTTTATGTGATGCACATAACTTGCAGCTTGCTGAACAGTCTGAGGTTTCAACCACTGACAGAAAGATAAAACACAGAAGGATCTACAGTGTCTGGGAAGGAGAGGAGGGGTGATTTGAGTTTTTGCACCTTTACTAGAGTAGTAAGAGGTTTTTGTAGTCAGCCACTACCAAAAAAATAAAAAAAAAGAAACTAAGCAGTTATATGTGTGTTGCACTATATACCTGACTGGATCCAAATGATGATGGGGAAAATAGTTGGCAGAATCCATTATGTGAAGACCAAAAGGGAGCAAAGAGAACACCAGTTATCCTCAATTCCCTCTCACAGGATCAGGCAAACACTGACTTGGAGGATCAAGAGCTTGTCCGCTCACAGGGTTCCTGAGTTTCCTCTGAATGCATTTTTATCACACACATTCCCATGCCTAGCTACCCATGCCTAGCTAATGGTTGAAGAGTGCCAAGATAAAATGACATCTTATGCTAAAGCAAAACACACTGGGACAAGGAGGAGCATGGAACTCCTAACGAGAGTCTCTAATCATACTGCATTCTGTTGTTGCCACCTACTGGCCTGGGTGCATTACAATGCATTTTAAAAGTGTCATCTCAAGGCATCTGACTAACCATCACTTTCCAATGTAGAAATTATATAACCTATTATCATCTTTACATAAACAGTGGGGTAGGGGGAAAAGCACTGATTTTGTAATAATTCTGCAAAAGTGTAACAGATTGTTATTACCAAGATGGTGTTAGGAGCTGTTTTAAAGCAATATTTTTATTGGTCTGGGACCATAAATACACTTTAAAAATAAGCAACATTTTTTAAGTACCTCTAATTCTGTTGTATCAAGATTAGCTTTTTTAGAGTATTTGAGGAAATCCTGTGAAGAAAAATCATGGAATTAGATCTTCCATTTAAAACAGATGAACAACTAAACTGAAAAGCCTTCTTTTTCAGAAACAGCAGATAATAAAATAGATATTTATCCATCATTCCCCTCTCCCCCGTGTCCCCTTAATGTTTTGAACTCTCTCCTTTCACACATTCACCTAGTCTTCTCTTTGGTTCAGCTGTCACTTTGTATTTTGCTTGAACTGACTATCCTTATTCTGGGCAATCTTACTGCTTTCTTTCAGACACAAATTTCAAATACCATTTTTCTTTTGTCAGATTCTTTAGACAGTAAGTTTGCAGAAATTTCATTTTAGTTATATTGGTAGTTAAATATAGTAGGTGAAGAGAAGATAGTAACAATGATATAGTAATACATGGTGCTAAGGATACATGTTAATAGACCTATGTGTGCTTCGAAAAGGATTGGTAGTTGGACTTAACTGTGAAATGCTTTTTCATTATTGAAAGACAGACCCAACAGGAAAGAGTTAAGTCAATGTCTTCTAACTAAAAGGTGGGGCTTAAGGTTTCTTTTTGTCCTGTGTCCCCACTCCTTCAGCATTGGCTTCAGCTCAAATTAATTCTTTGTTACTGAATAATTCATTGTAACAATATAAAACTTGCGAATAGCAAGAACACATGGGAAAATGGAAGAACAAGATTTCAGAGAGGGCTAGAATGGGGGGGGGCGACCTCTCTGAATTGTGCCCAGGAGGGTTCACAGTATGGCACCAGCTGAGGCTCCAGGGCAGAGGAAGGGGTGTAGCAGTTGTCATCTGAGAATCTCTGTTGGCTAGAGATGGAGTGGCTGTGGCCTGGGACTCCTCCGTATCTGGGGCCTTATCATCTCTGGTTCTGGATGGGGTGGCACTGCCCAAGACAGACCCAGTGCGCAACTTGGGGGGCCTCCTGGACTCACGAATTGTGCTCAAGGAGCAGGTGGCAGTCGTAGCTAGGCAGGCCTTTGCTCAACTCCGTGTTGTGCACCAGTTGGGCCCTTTCCTGGATTGGGAAGCCCTTCTCTCAGTCACTCATGCCCTGGTCACCTCTTGTTTGGACTACTGCTATGTGCTCTACATGGGGCTACCTTTGAAAAGTATCCGGAAGCTGCAACTAGTGCAAAATGTGGCAGCGCAAGCAGTTATGGGTACCTCTAGGGCTGCACATGTAACACCTCTGCTGCGTGAGCTGCACTGGGTGCTGGTTTGCTTCCAGGTCCAATTCAAGGTATTGGTTATGACCTTTAAAGCTTTGCATGGCATGGTCTCAGGTTACCTGAGGAACCGTCTCATCCTGGTTACATCCACCCATCCCACCCGGTCCAGCAGAAAGGGCATGTTGCGGACCCTGTCAGCTAAAGAATTCCATTTCCAACTGGCAGGGTTGAGGAGGAGGGTTTTCTCCACCATTGCCCCCACCTTGTGGAACATCTTCCCCCCTGGGGTGATGCTGGCCCCCACTCTCCTGGCTTTCCAGAAGAGCATGAAGACCTGGCTCTGCCACCTAGCATGGGGATCTAATGAGGGCTCACAGCACTGGGGTGGTTGGTGGTTTGATGTTTCTTCCCTTGACTTTTAAACACACACACACACACACACACACACACACACACGTATATATGATTTTTTAATTGTTTTTATCATTTTTTATGTATAAGCCACCTAGAGACACTTGTATAGTAGGATGGGTGGCATATAAATTTGATAAATAAATAAAATAAACAATGTGTAACCATTAGCAAACACTATTTGACCTTTGGTTGTTTGAGCTGTCCCTGAATCTATCCCTTTTCTATAGAGTGTGATTGTTGGGACTCTCATTTGTTGACCAAAAAAGTATTTCATAGTAAGCCTAACTTCTGTTTTAGTCACTGAAGATGGATCCAATAGGAAAGGGATATGCTGTAACAGTTTTCCCAGTGAACAGTTTTCCGTGATAGCACAGACACCAAAGGACACATCTGTGAAAGCAAACTTATCTTTGTTATAATGCTTAATGAACATAAGATTGTTCAACACAGATTGTCACACAACAAATGTTTGTTAATAGACCTCTACTACTAATGTAGCCACCCCTTCAACTGATGCCAGCGGGAACTTTTTTCTTGCTGGCTTGATGCATTTCCTGACCACTCATCTTCTTAGCCTATTAATCTCTCACAAAATAGGGAGCCTATCAGCCAACAGGCCCTCTAGAATATGTTTGAAGTATATTCTTAGGTCTGGGTGCACATTTAGCTTTTGCCAGATTTGTTCTCTAAGATGGAAAGGATCTGGGCAGAGTCTGGGAAGCATAATCTCTTGTGCTTAGTGAAGTTTGGAATTGATCTTGGACATGAAGCAGGGATCTGGTCCCAGTACCACCTTGTCTTGATTGACTACATACAGATCCTCCTTCAAGACTGAACCCCTAATTTCCCATCCCTTCCAACTGAAGACAGGGGTTATCAAAAAGGCCATCTTTCAGGTGAGGATGTTAATGGGGATCTCTCTGAGGGGTTCAAAGGGACTAGTCGTTAGAGCTCAAAGAACCAAAACTAGTCACATGGGGAGAAATGGTGAATGATCAGGGATGAGAGGATGCTTGCACCTCTGATGAAGTAACGTACAGGAGAGTGGCCAGATAGAAGTGGATTACCAAATGTGACACAGTAATTTAAGTGCAAATAGGTAGCATCCAAAGTTACTTACCTTTAGTAACAACTGATACTTCATAATTCTTTGCACTGGTTTTATCAGCAAATCTGTGAGCTGAAGTCTATGACCCAAACGTTGCTTCAGGTCCTAGTAATAATAAGCAAAGTTCAGATTAGTTTCCACAGTTTAAGAAGATTGGTTAGGTATGTTTGGCTTTAAATTTCCCCACAGTTTCTCCTATGCTTAATTCTCAATTTTAATTAGAAAATAAATTGAGATATTTTGGTTTTCATTTATGTAAAAGTTTATCAATAAACACAACTTTGTTCCATATACATTCCTGGGGGGCGGGATTCTTTTTTATTTGAGCGAGAGAGGGAGAGAAGCCCTATTGTTTCATGCTGTTGCATCTGGTCCTATCATCCTTTGCCTGAATGAGTGACAAGGGGAATGCCTGGCTGAATTCAGTGCGGTTTCCTAGTGTTGTACAGTTTTGAGAAGCTATACGTGGCGGTGAGTGGGCTTCAAATAGTGTCATTCCATTTGGGGAAAAAACAATCATTTCACTTCACTTTGCAATTTAAAAGAGCCAGGTCCATCCTGTCAGGTCTGACAAAAAAAGGTTGTAAGATTTTCCCCAACTGGCCTCTGAATTATATTTAATTTATCCTTAATCACTCACATTCACTGAAGTACTGTGTGATCATTCACATTTGGGAGCACAGCTGGCCTACTTGCCTATATCAAGCTGTCAGAATCAGCAATATAAAAAGAACTTTACACATAAGACATGGTTGAATAAAAATATCCTTATTAGCTATAAATACTAATGTCATCTATCACCTTCTTTTTGTTCTTTCCCCCTCATCTGAGCCTCCTTAGTCTGGTATGTATAAGCAATTTGGGATCTATGACTACATCACAGATTCACTTTAATCAGTTATTGTGATTTAGCTTTACAATGAAGTCAGGGGCTACATGTAATCCACCTCTGAACTAGAATTTGATATACAGAGATATTAAATGTCAGAGCTAATAGACAGGAAACACATACATTCATTTGGTAAAAATAAACCAATTACAGCCCCAATCCCAAGGGTGTTAACATCTCAGAGATGGAAAAGATTAAGTGATTTGGAAAAGATTATAGCTGTTTCCCTTCTACCAAGAGGCACAGATACATCCTCCCACTCCTTTGGCACTTACCTCAAAAAATGTATCAATGTATTCTGAGACAATATGCTCAGACTTTGGTTTATTTTGGCAATAAACTATATACATGTGCAATCTTCTCTCCTGGAATGAAGAGAAAGAACAACAAATGTGTACTGCAGAAAAACATAAAGCAAACTGACATGAACTAAAATGGAGGTTACTGTAGTCTGCAAATTCTGGTACCGTTCTGGATCACCATAGCTTGAAGAAACCAAATGTATACTATATCTCCAAAGATAGCAATTATATCTACAACTGTAGCACCACCTTTTCCAAATAGAAGCACTGTAACTATAATTGAGGTGTATACTGTGTTCAACTCTACACCTTTTTTATCAACATAATGATCCAACTAAACACACAATGAAGTCAGAACATAACTGTCATTACAGTTTTAATAAGATAATTATTGAACTGATTAGATATACACATACATATGTCCAAAGCACTGATTTCCAAACTTTTTGCTCTCAAGAAACAAAGATGGGCTTTGCTAGTCATCAGCTCATATAGGTACTGGTTTAGATTTTATAGCATGTTTTCAGTGCAAGTGGAGTCAAAGCAAGGTCTAATGGTCACTTTCATTTTCTACAATGGGAAAAAATGAAGGACACCGTACATAGCCCCAAGTCCTATGATCACTACTATGATCTTATTGACAATGGCCTTCACCAATTAGTTTAGGTATTCATAATAAATTGAGCAACAACTACTTATACAAATTTCTAGGCACTGAAGATACATGGAGGTCACAATATGAGAAAGTTTTGACCACAAGGAAAAATCAGGAGCCACTGCAGCAGAGGTATCAAATACATGCTTGACACCACCCACACATTTAGCCCATCACAGTTTTAAGAACTGGTTCACCAGACAAAAAAGCAGAACAGTTTTGATTGTTTGCACAGTGAACTTCCAGAAATCTAGTTTAAGCTGAGTAAGAGCTCATCTACACAGCAGCTGTAAACTCTTTGCCTCTTATGTTGATTCTGGCTGGAAATTAAGGTAGCTTAAGAAATTGCTGTCTCGATTTCAAGGCAGGTTGCAGGTGACATCAGGCTTTTCTGTCCTCCAGAAACATCTCCATGCTGAGGCAAGCAGGATGTGGAGATGAGCCTAAGCTATGCAATTTAAAGAAATTAACTTGCACCACAGAATGCTGAAGGTTCCCTAATGGCTCCTTTCTGATGGTCAAGGAAAGCTGGAGGGATTTACATGGAAGAGAGGCCAATAGTAGACTTTTATTGTTCTTTCTGGTTGTTCCCTGTTCCTCTTTTCCTAGAAGCCAAGGAAGATCTGCTATCAAGGAACTGAAAGGGGAAAGCTTCAAATGCTTTCCAGCTTTTCTTCTCCATAGAGAAGCAGCAATCATGGAACTTTCAGATGTTCTGACCACGCTGGAATCTTGCTGCTTTTCCATCTGTTCAATTCTTTCTTAATGTGAGGAAATCAAGCAGACTCCCAACAGCTAAAAAAACCTAAGTCTTCTACATGACTTAGTGACTGTAACAAACACAAGTTAATTTCTTCCACAATGCAAGTTGACTTCTTTAAATTGCATAGCTTAGGACTTAAGTGAATAACGTCTGACAGTGAAGAAAGACATATTGAAAAAAAGTCTCCAGAAAAGGTGAAACTGTGGTAGATTGCAATAATAATGAAATAAGCTGATTTCCATGCTTTAACATCATTCACAGGATCAAGGCCCAAAGCAATCTGAACCAAGATTTGCAGAGTAAAAAAAAAAAAAAAAAAAAAGGGCAAAGCTAAAGGAAAAAGCACCTCCTCTTTGGGAATTTTTTTTTTAAAAAAAAATCCCCCATTAGAGGGGGGTTTTTCTTTTTCCTCTTGCCTTTTTTTTTTTTTTTCTCTGCAAATTTTGGTTCAGTTTGTTTTGGGCCTTGATCCTGTGAATGATTTTAAAGCATGGAAATCAGCTTTTTTTTTTTTTTTAAAAAAAAAAAAAAAAAAAAAGGTCAAGGCTAATGAGAAATGCACCTCTACTATGGGAATTTATTTTTAAACAATAACAGGAGTCAGGAGCTCTGTCAGTGTGTCAGTGAGAGGATAAGTAATTGCCAATTATAATAATCTATAGAATTCTGATTTAAAAGTTGACATTTTTATCCATCCCTATCTTGTTTATTGCTACATAGTCATGTAGAAGATACCCTCCTCCAACTGCTCTGTAGTAAACAGAATAAAAGGGCAGTTGGGCCTCAAATCAGCTTTTCATGAGTATGAAGAGAAACACTGAGGAAAGCAGATCCCTTTGGTCTCTCCAGGCAGAACATATTTATATCCTTTTTTAAACCTGCCTTTCGATTAATTACTGGAGCTAAGGGGCAAGACCTCAGTAATGGCCTCTTCCTTAAGGAACTGTCTCTCTAAAGATCAAAAATTAGTTCCTTTACAGTTTTAATCCTACAAATTGATTACAATTTAAACTTATGTGTTTTTGCAAGATATATTACCGTTAGATTTTTTCACAACTATGATTTGATACTGGATCTATATTGAATCTTGAAGTTTTATTAAATATGTTGCACTTTACGATACTCTTGTTAAGACTGCTTGATGTCCAGAAAGGAAGCTTGAAAATTTATTTTTCAGTACAAAGGGTAGCTAGTAACATTTTTAAAAAATTCTGATTCATAGGATTTGGATCACTATAATCCAAAAATACCTATCATTTTTTATTTTTTCTACCCCTCTCTAATTTTAGATTGTCCACATTATTCTCTGCTAGGATTCAACATGCAAAGCCATGAAAGTTCCTCTTTTACTGTTCCTAAAAGGTCACTTATGAACCAAGAGGATTGTGACTCCCTGTCTTTTTTTCAAGGTTTTCAATCCCTGCCACTTTCACTTAAAAGTCAAGAAAGAAAACAAATGAAGCAAAAGAAGATTATGCAATTAAGTAATAAAAATATTATTCATAAAGTCAGCAATATGTGGATGACTGGTTGAAAAGGCTGTCTATAAATATTCAGATTAATGATAAAAATATCCTTAATATCCTTAATTTATAATATGCTATAAATTATCTTTGTCATTCTTACATTAGCCAAATTTTACTTAGTAAATTAACTTCCTCCACTGAAGTGTTGTTCTGGATAGAACTACTGAATACTGGTATATTCAGTATATCAGTATGTATGTGTATGTGTGTGTGTGTGTGTGTGTGTGTGTATATCTCTATCTCTATATATCTCTATCTCTATATATCTCTATCTATCTATCTATCTATCTATCTATCTATCTATCTATCTATCTATCTATCTATC